AAAGTAAATAAAAAAAAAAAAAAAAAAATGGTAGTTTTCGTACCTATTTTTCTTACTGAAGGCATACTCGACCCTTAAAAATGCGTAAAAACGCCTGAGATAAGAAAAAGGTATTTTCGTACAATTTTCAAATATGATTGAAAATTGTTTTTCTGACAATTATTTCGAAATCATGCACTCCAATTATCCGGGTAAACATAGGAGAAAAATTATAAAGCAAATAACTTTAGCGTATTTAAGAATTCGAGTCAATCATCACGAAGATAGAGTGATGAAATCTCAGCCAATACTCAGTTCATCTCAGCTCATATTCAGTGATTATGATGACATAATTTTTAACAAGCACAAATAATTATTGCAAATTTTTTTTATCAACAGTTTTATTATTGTACTTGAGTTTTTAGTTATATAGACAGTTGATTGGTATTACTTTTTAAATGATAGTTTTATGTATATTTTTTTTATAGTTTATTACAGTAGTAAATAGTGTCTATAGTAAAAATAAAAATATTTTATTTTAATTTAAAGCACATTTTTACGTTTACTTATATTTTACTTCCAATTACATTTCTGTCTTGTATCGAATTTAATCATAAAAAATAGAAATTATGTAATTTTATTATTAATAATTTCTAATGAAAAAAAATTAAAATGTTTCAATAAGGGAGTATCAACAATATTGGCTTTTGATCAGGCATCCAATTTTTATCCATGGTAGCCAACGCTGATTTTCAAAACAGGACTACATTGTGCTCACATGAACCCTTAATCGCTAGAAGGGATTAGTTAATCAATTTAGTTTATTAGCGTTTTAATATAGTGTTGTATGTATGCCAATATAATACTAAAGAAATTTAACATTGTGTTATATATTTTACATAAGTTTAAGCATAAAATACAATACAACAATGAATATATATATATATATATACTTTTTAAGGTTTTCTAAGTAGGGCTAAACATCCAATCAATTGATTACAAAGTAGGTATAGTTCTTATAGTGTCAAAACCGAATACAATGTTGTCCTCAGAAGATAATTCTTTTTATACTGATCCTCTTATTCCATTGAGTTAAATTTTTTGTTTGAGCAATGGTTGTAGAATTTTTTTTTTGAACGCTAATTTAATTTTTTTTTTTGCAGTAAGAGCTAGCCCCCGATCCCCCACAATAGCTAGAAGGAAGAGGATAAAGTGCAGCACAATTTTGCCGTTCGGTAGTAATTTTTTGTATTATTATTTATTATATTCAGTTTTTTGCAGTACAATACAAGGGACTCCGTGCCTCCACCTACTACCCGAGGCCTCGCCCTTATACCCCCACCCCCGAACCCTAGCCCTTTGAAACATCACCCCTTTAACCTTCAGTCGCCTACCAATAGCTCAAAGACTATAGAGTCCAGCTCAATTTTGCCTCTTGTTAGTAATTTTTTGTATTATTATATTCAGTTTTTGCATTACAAAGGACTATAAGCTTCTACCTACTACCCGAGGCCCCGCCCTTGTACCCCCACCCCCATCCCTTGGCCCTTTTAAACTCCGCCCTTTTTTCTTCTGGTCCCATATTAATAGCTATAAAAGGACAATATTACCCTTTGGCATTAATTTTTTTAATACTGATACTCTCATTTGATGCAGTTTAATTTTGTTGTTCAGAAGCTGATGGTAAATTTTTTTTTTAAGATTGATCATTCAGTAATTTGCACTGAGATAGGTTCCCTTTCTGCCGGCTACTAGATGTCCCGCCCTACTACCCCCACACCCGAACCCTGACCCTTTAAAACCCCGCCCCTTTTACCCCCGGTCGCCCACCAATAGCTATAGAAGAGATGTTAGTTTATGTAAGTATTTATTGGCTTTTGTCAAATATATATCGCCATTTACACATTATGCATAAGTATAATTTATGTTAATTAGACGATAAACACATGAATAAAAATTAATATAAATAAATAAAAAATTGTATATAATAGATTTTAAACTCAACGCAACAATACTATTATGCAATTGTAGCTATGTAAGAGGATAGAGTCCAGCACACTAGAGTTTACTGATACTCTCATTTCATCAAGTTTAAAAGATAAGTTTATTGTTCGGAAAAAGATTGTACATTTTTTTTTTTGAAACGCACGATCACTCAGTTTTTTCCGGTTCTTTTATTATACATACGGTTGTTTTATTACATTAGTAGCTCTTTCATTGTTGATAAAACAAGCAAATTATGAAGTAATGGAAGTCTACCCATTAAATGCAT